GCGTGCTGCTTTTGCCTCTTCCTCCTGAGTAAGAAGGGCAGCGGGCGGTCGTGCTTTCCCCGCGCCGCAGACGGGCTGCGTGACGGTGCCAGGCGGGGGGGACGACACATAAATACATATTCTGTGGGGAGAATAAATAATATGTATTTTGGGTCAAGAACAGCCCTCCCAAGCCAGTTCATGCAGGGACAAATGCGAAAGTGCGTGCATAAAACCCCAGTCATGCCAAGTCTCTGAGCACCCACTCGAAAAAGCCTTTCCCAGCAAAGCACTTACACGTATTTGAGAACCGATGTGAAGTAAGTTCCAGTAATTTATTTTCAAGTCAGAAATGAAGCATTTATTTTAATTGCTCTGCTCTGCAGGGATGAACCGTGGGAGAGGACCGAACAAGGATTCACCGTAGGGAGAGTAAACCTACAAATATGAGTCACAAAACCCCAGCACTGCTGGAAAATACATATAATCATTTTTTTTTCTTTGTTATTTTATATAACCATTATTTAGGAGATATAAAAACTGCAAATCTGTTTAAAATTATTAGTTTTACACAAGATTTTCTTGTTAACGTCACTGTTACATTTTACTGCAGTATCGTCTGTAACTTTTCTGTTACATCCTCCCCCGTGGGAGCTCGCTGGCTGTCACCCTCTGCCTTACTCCCGCAGGCTCTTCCAGGCACAGGGTTTCGCTCTCTACTGGTGCTCTGCTCCTTTGAAACATGGTGTTATTTTCCTGCTCGCGTGTGTGTTCATTATTATTTATAACGAGGTGCTCCACGCGTGCTCAGAAGCACGTCTGGAGGCTCTTCCCACGTAACTCGTGGAGGGGAAAACCTTCGGGGTTGGAGGCTGCGGAGCTGGAGGGAAGGTTTGCTGGAGCCTTGCCTACCCCGTGCGTTGGATTCTTTTCTGTTGAATCTTTAACCAGAATTTCTCGTAATTTTCCACTGTTTTTCCAGCTGCAATTACTGTATTTAAACTTTATTAAAGCTGTTCTTTCTTTTTCCTTTTTTTAAACTTTCATCAGGCCTTGAAGCTGGTGTCCGTCGGTGTTTATCCCTTGCCTTCTGTTGCCCACTCAGGGCTTTGCTAACATCTGCTCGATCAATCAGCTGAGCAGAGCAGGGTTGCAGCGTTAATGATAGTAAGCGATTTTCTGTAGCAGCTGAAGTCATCATTATCGAAGTCCCGAAAGAAAACATTTTCCTTGCTGGCCAATATTTATCCTTGCTATCGATCCCCTAAGCAGCCCTAAAAACCAGACCGGAGCCGCCCGCTGCCGGGGGGG